AAACCCTAAACGCCTTAAACTAAACATCCCTTAGCAAGAAACCCTAAACCCTCAAAGCCTGAGACGAGGTTGCTTTGGACCCCAAATCCCAAGCCTTAAGCCCTAAGCCCTTAACCCCAAAGCCTAAAGCTTGAGACACACGTCTGGACCTCATCCACCTTGCCGCCGCTCTGCTGTTGACCTAAGCCTTGTAAACCTTAGATACCTCTGTCAACCCTAGCGCCTGTACACCCCACACCCGAAAACCTAAGCCCTATCAGCCCGGCAATGCCTAAACCCGAAGCCCTAGAAAGCCTGAACCCCAAGCCCTATAAAGCCAAGCCCTGGGCCCTACAAACCCTGAAGCCTAAGCCCTGTTAACACTCAACCCCAAGCCCTAAGCGCCCGATAACCCTAAGCCTTTGTGGATCCTTATGGAAATGGAGAGCTCAAAGCCAGCGAAATTGTCCGGCACACCCTAAACCCTAAATCCTGAACCCCAAAACCGTAAACCCTAAACACCTCTAGCAATGAAACCCTCTACCCCGCGAACCCTGAGGCTTGCACTCCAGCCTGGAGGTCGGTCAAGTTTGGCCGGCCCGGGCCTTGAAGTCGCCGCGCATCCTTCGGGGGGTAGGGTTTGGGGCTTGTGGGGGCTTGCTTTTGGTGGGGACTGATCCCGGGACACTGAACCCTAATCCTATAAACCCTTAACCCAGCGCCCGACCGCCAAACGCACCAAGGCGCTGAATGATCCTCCACTCCAAGGAGTGGAGCCCCAGGGATGCGTCCCTTCCACGTGGATGCGGATGTCACGCTCTCGTTGTCCGTCACGCCCTCGTTGTCCGTCACGCCCTCGTTGTCCGTCACGCTCTCGTTGTCCTTGGCAGGGGGGTTTAGTGCGCGTATGGGGTTTGGGGTTTAGGGTTTCGGGTTTAGGTGTAGGCTTTAGGGGGCTCTGAGGTTACGGCTAGGGTGTAAGGTAGTCTGTCTAGAGTTCGTGCAAATATAAACATAAGCAGAAAGCAAACAAATAATACTCATTTCGACATCTATACGTGATACACAACATAACAAGGAAGAATAAATAACTGATATATGACTACAAGGATCCAGACCCTACGCCCTAAACCCTTTCGGGTTCGGGGTTTAGGATTTAGGGAATAAGACCCTAAGCCCCACAACCTCAAGAACCAAGCGAGGGTCTGATTCTGATTCCATGCCGCTTCCTCGGAGAGATTTGCTGCAACAGCTACCCAGTCTACTAAATATAGTCAAGGCGGTGATTTTGAGACGGCGTCTCATATTAGAAGGGGACCTCTTAGGGGTGCATCCTCAGGAAGAGCCCATGCACGGTTTGCTTGAGCCGGATTTGCACCGCGGGCAGCTGTTAGGGTTTAGGGCTCAAGGGTTTAGAGTTTAGGGTTTGAGGAATCTAGCTCAATGTTCGAGGTCTGCGGGG